CGCTGTAAGTAGCCTTTCTCAGCGGAACAGACTTCCGTCCTGACATCCAGCAGCAGGGCCCCTCCTGGGCTGCTTCCCGTGCTGGCAGCTCTTGGTGGTGGTTTGCAGGAGCCGAGGAGTGAAAGAGCAGCCTTCCTGGGGTGACTGCTCCTGACCTGTGGGAGGCCTCTTCCACTGGATGCCAGAGTGGTAGCTAACATAGAGCTCTCAGTATGTGCCCAGGAACATGCTAAGTGCTTTGTGTTGGTTATTTCATATAAATCTGTCTTAGTCCATTTGGACTGCTATAACAAAATGCTTTGGACTGGTGGCTTATAAACAACAGAAATTTATTTAGTGCTGAAGGCCGGGAAGTCCAAAATCAAGGCTCAGACAGATTTAGTGTCTGGTGAGGACTTGTGTCCTGGTTCATAGATGATGCCTTCCTGCTGTGTCCTCGCAGGGTGGAGGGGGCAGAAAGGTCCCACGGGTCTCTTTTATAAGGGCACTAAGCCCATCATGAAGACTTTATCCTTATGACCTCATTACCTCCCAAAGCCCCTCCTCCTAGTACCATCACTTTGGGGGTCAGGTTTTTAACATAAGAATTTTGGGGCACACACATTCAGAGCATAACACAACCTCACAGCAGTTCTTTGAAATAAGTAGATATTTACCACCATTTTATAGATTAGGAAGCTAAGGGTTAAAATCATTTCACCCAAGTAACTTAGCTAGTAAATCTGGTAGTCTAACTTTAAACTGCAGTGTTTTAACTACTGTCTTATACTTCCTCTTTGTTAGGAGATTGTATTTAGACACGAGCTTCCCTTTGAATCCAACTTTCCCATGGGTCAAAAAGCTGTCAGGTGGATTTAAACGAGACAAGGGAAAACCACCTTCAGAGTTGGGTCCAGGTATAATTCTCTGTTATGATTCTAAATAATTATAACCATTGTTTTTCTCAGGCTTTTTCCATGGTTTTTTTTCAGTCATTGGTTTCCAGCAGTTTGAGCATGATATACCTAGGTGTGATTTTTTTTTTTTTAACGTGTCCTACGTGGATGCTGATTCTTGCATACCTAAACTGATGTCTTTCACCAAATTTAGGACAATTACAGCCAGTTTTTTCTTCAGGTATTGATCCTGCTCCATTCTCTTTCTTTTCTTTTGGGGCTAAAATTATCTTTTAGACCTTTCAAAATTGTCTAGCAGGCCCCTGAGGCTCTCTTTATTTTTTCATAATTTTTTTTCTCTGTTCTTCGGATTGAATAATTTCTCTTGTTTCCTCTTCAAATTCACTGACTCTTCTTTCCTCTCCAGTCTGCTGTTAAATGCATCCAACAAATTGTTTGTTTTTTTTCAGTTCTAGAAATTCCATTTCATTTTTCCTAGTGTTTTATTTCTTCGATGAGTTTTTCTCTCTTTTCATTTGCCAATAATATATTTTTCTTTAAGTCCTTGAGCATAGATATAATAGCTGATTTAAAACCCTTACCTGCTGATTCCAGCAACTGGGTCAACTTGGGGACATGGGGACAGTCTCTATAATTGTGTTTTTTCTTGAAAATGGATCATTTATCCTTTTTTGTTGTTGTTGTTTGTTATATTGAGCTATTTTTAATTGTATCATGGACAGTATCAATAGAGACTCTGGGTTCTGTTTTGTTCCTCTGAAAAGTACCGCTTTTTTGTTTTGGTAGGCAGTTAACTTAGTAAATTCAGACTTCTGTCTCCTTTGCATTGGGCAGCAGTGGAAATCTCTGTTTAGTTCTTTTGGCTTTAACTGGGCTGCACGCAAGCTTGGCTCAGGGGTCGCTCAGTGACTTACGGAGTGTTTATGAACACAAAGCTTGGGCTCCCCTTTTCTAAATCTCTCCTTTCCAGGATTTCTTCTCTCACTTTCAGCTGCTGTGTTGCCTTGATCTCTGTCCTGATTCTTCTATCCAGTAAGACCATCTGAATTTTAGCCACCTTCCTGGTTCAGAGCTAAGCCTACCCTCAGGCTAAAAATCACCAAAAGGAGGAACTCATTGGAGTGCTGAGTGTCCTTTTTCCAAGTGCTGATACCCTTCCAGGATGTTCTGCTTTTGGTCATTCTGGTGCTTTTGGTGTTCTGCTTTTGGTCATTTTGGTCATGTTTGGTTACTTTGGTCATCCCCCTCCAGGATGTTCTGCTTTTGGTCATTTATTTTATTCTTTTTTTTTTTTTTTCGGGCACTGGCCAGTATGGGGAACTGAACCCTTGACCTTGGTGTTACCAGGTTTCGCTCTAACCAACTGAGCTAACTGGCCAGCACTCATTCATTTTATTCTAAAATTGAGGATTTTTTTGTTTTGTTTTTATTTTTTAATATTTTGTCCAGAGTTTATAGTTGTTATTCACCAGAGGGCTTGTTCAATAAGATCTATTCAACCATTGCAGGAGGTGGAACTTTCTAGAAACTCTGTCTCATTTAAGTGAGGATGTGTCTCAGAATAGAAAGAACACAAGCTTCAGAGTCAGACCCAACCTGAATGCAGAAACTGACTCTGCCTCTTAAAGTCTGAGCCTTGGGAGTCTCATATGTAGAGTGAGAAAATCAAATCTACCTCCCACAAGCTATTGCAGTTGAAGTGAATATAATAATGTTTGCTAAGCACCTAGCACAGAACCTATTGTCTAAAATGTCCTGATTAATAAGTGGCCACTGTTGACTCAGAACAGCAGCAATCTTGGCATGAACCCTGTGTGGCAAGCATCATTTTCATTTTTACAAAGGAGGACTTTGGGGTGCCCCAAAGTTATAAAGGGCAATAAGTGTGGATATGTTTTAAGAAGAAAACATACTTTACTGTTTCTTTGGTGCTTTCTTTATTGACTGCTGCACGCGTGCACGCACGTGTGTGTGTGCTTCAGGGGAGGGGTTCAGGTAGCTAGTGAGCTTGATTTCTATATTGAGAAAAGGTGGCTCTCATCACTGAAGAATGCTTAAAATGGGATAGATGC